AAATCCTAAACCGAATCTAAAACCCTCAAACCCGGCCTTTTGCTTCAGGCCTTCGGCTTCCCTCGACAAGCTCAGCCGACTGCAAGCGCGAGCTTGCGACCCTGAGGGGCCCGAGTCGCACGGCTCAGTTGCAATAATAATGATAATAATAATGAAAATAATAATAATGGTAGTAGGCATAGTCATAGTAATAGTAATCGTAACAACAATATAGTAGTACTGTAGTAGTCATATAGTGATAGTTATAGTGATAGTAATAGCAATACTAACGTAACAGGGACAGTAAGAATCATAAATAAGGGTATAATATACTATTATTGTAATTTTTAGGCGTACCATACTGTATTATTCAGGGGGTTCAGGTGTCCTTTCTTCTAGTCGTTGAAAAACATGAATCCTAAGTCCCAAACCCTTGCTGCCTCAAGGTTCAGCGGTTTCGGGTTCGCCGTTTTTTGGAAGTCTCTGGGTTGCCATGTTTGTTGCTGCTTCGGCAGTGCTGTGCGCGAGTTCAAAGCCAAACTCATCAGGCATGCAGGTGTTTGCTTCCTGGCGTCCTACACTCATTCTGCAACCACCCAAAGAATGTGAGAACACTGTCCGGCTTGTGCTGTCCAGGTGCAGGTTGTTCCTACTTGAAGGATCATGGGACTTAGTAAGAGGGTTATAAACAAGGTGGCCATACTTATAATTACTTGTGTCCCCAATTAAGGTACTTATAACTTATAACTGTACTTACTAAGTGGTCGCATGAACGGTTTAGGCTTTAGGGGCCTGATCGACGGCTGACTTTGTATCGGGCTTCCCCAGGTTCGGTGAACACGTGGCAGTGCTCTGTAGTCTTATAATAAGAATAACAATAATAATAAGGAGCCAAAACGGTATAGGTGATTTTTTTAAGTCCCCATATTATAGTGCATCTTGGTACCCTTATAGATCCCTTTCAAGGATCCCTTATATCACTTTAGAGGAACCCTTATAGTACCCTTATAGATCCCTTATAGTAATCCTTATACACCCTTGTATTGCAGCGGTCAGCCGGAATGCTCAATGTGTAATATAGGGGCCTTACCAATTATTAGATAAGAAGGAGCCACCGAAATAGTATTGACAGCTATTTAAGCCCCTATATGAGGTTGTTGCGGAAGGTGTTTAGGATGTACGGGGTTTGAGCGCTGAGAGATGCTGAGAGTCTGCACGGCTTCAGGATTTATCCGTATCCCTAATATGAAACCCTGTCCTGGTAAGGGATCGCCATCCAGGCTAATGCGGCAGATCTTCTGCTGCACCGCCTGTAGATGGCAGCTTAGGCTTTAGGGGCTCCCCTTCGGCGCTTCATCTGGAGCCCCGATACATGAAGAGCGGCCCGCCCTATACCCTGCAAGCAGAAAGCCCTGAACAGCGAGTCCTACCTTACAAGTGCCGAGGTCTGCCACATAAAACCTCCGCTGAAGAAAACAACCGCAAAACAAACTCTGTAGACCTTGCAGTGCTCACTCGGGGCCGATTGGCTTTGCCGGCTTGGGGTTTCGTTTGGGGCATTGGGCTTTGGCTTTGGGTTTGTCAGTGGCTCACCACGGGGTGTAAGGTCTCTGCGTACTTATACTACAGCTTGCCCAAAGGCTCCATGTACCTTTATTGTAGATACTTAAGCCTTAAAGGGGTCCCCATATAGGTACTGTAAGGCCTAAGTATGTACTATATGGGTACATGGAGCCTTAGGGTTGGAGAAGTGGCTTGGCTTTACTCCGACTCCCACACTCGGACAATCCGGAGCGAGGCTGTCAGCACAAGTCCCGCAGGTCTTGGATGTACGACAACACGTGTCACTCGAAATGCAGACAAGCCTTGGCTAATCGTCACGTTTTAGGGTTTAGGGTTTAGGCTTTACGGCAATCCCATGTCCGAAACACTAGCAGCAGCAATCAATTCTTCAAAGGAAATGCGATCTTAAGCCGGGAATTCCTTGAATCTAGGCCGATCTGAAGTAGCTAGTAGTAATTGACCACCAAATTCTTGAACCCGAAACCCCAAATCTGAACAACTATATAAACCAATGTAAGCATACATCCTATCTCTTGAGCCCTGCTAACCTACATTTTTAAGGACTTATAGAAGGAAATCATATTAAGACGCAAAGAAGGCATGTTCTTTCGGGTGCAGGAATCTCTTGAGCTCTACAGGTCCTACAAGGACAACCTGGAACTGCTGAACAGTTTAATGTAGGAGCCTTAATAATTAGAATAGGGTTTTGGGGGATAATATACTGTAGTTATAATCAGGAACCCAGATTAGTTATGGTAATTAAGGCCCCTGCATTACTCCTCCTGCCCTGAACCGGACCAGTTCCTGCTGATGCGCTGCCGGCTGCTTGGTGCTTTGGCTAAAGCCGGCCATGTACCTGGCGGGATCAGGTCTCGGGTCTACGGCTTGATTTGGGAGGTTCCGAAAATGGGGGCCCCTACTATAGCACCCGAAATACTAGGATCCTTATTATAAGGACCCCAACTAAGGTACCGCGAATTTTCGGAAACTCACAACTTAGAAGGCTCTTGTGCAAACAACAGCGAATCTGGCTCTGCAGCTCTTGCCACTCCCAATCCAAATCCTTATCTGCCGAGAAGCTGTAGGATGTCATCTCCACTCTCCTTCCTGATCAGAACCAGAAGCCAACACCTAAACCCCTGGAATAGCTGTTATGTTTGCCTCGGATTCCGGAAGCCCTGGGAAGCACCTCCCCTTTGGACCTTCAAAGGTTCAGGGGTTAAGCCCGTTTTTTGGCAACAGGCCTCGTTGTCCAGCATCGAAACCCTGAACCCTTAAAGCCTAAACCCCAAACCCTAAAGTGAGGCTTACAGGCCAGTGTTGACGGTGTGAGGGCGCAGTTGCTCACTATCTATCTCTCTACCTGTCTTTCTGTTTGCCCATTTGCAAAATGTGCATGCATGCATGCAAACGTACATGCACATTTTACAAGCACGCATACACATGGAGACATATCTGCAGCTAGACATACACATCACATGCATATCAAAACCATCCGAGTCGGCTGAACAAGCATCTGAGTAGCCGGTCTCCTTTCACACTCGGACAAGCCAGTCCACAGTCATACGCTTCAGGCTGGGTTTAAGGTTTAAGTTTAGGGTTTAGGGACTCTAAACCCTAAACCCTGTTAAGTACGACTGAGGAGCTTATACTGCTGAGCGTCCTACACCGCCAAACCCACAGAAGCGTGGCGCTCAACGATCTCTACGATGCTTATAGGGATATTTAGAGTTCCTTTAGGGTTTACTATATGGTGCCTTTACGGGATACTACAGGGATTCTATAAGGGTCTCTTTTAAACCGCTTCATACGGGATTTAGGGCTTGTGGACCCACGACCGGCTCTGAAAGGATGCATCCCTTTCCTAAATTTCCAAACGAGGCTCCGGTTTTAATCTTGGGGCCTTAAGAATTAGAATAGTGTTTTTGGGGTTCTTTATTACAGTTACTAGTATAGTATAAGATACCCCCAAACCCTATTGTTAAGGCCCCTGCAGTAGAACATGGAAGGTGTGGAAAGGAACTTGTATGTAAAGGTTCCGAATTTGTGTAGTGAAGCCCCCAATAGCACAAGCGATCAAGATTTCGAAAACCCGCAGGTTATGTCTTGTGGGGATTTCCCGAATCTGGGTGCAGGAATTACATTATCATGACGAACTCTTCGGCGCCGTCGTCCAGCATGCATCCGCATAAGCTTGGGTTCCGATTTGAAAAACAGTGTCGATCGACTTTGGGTGCATCCCGTTGCGGCTAACGAGGTTCCGGCGGGTGCAAATAAGTCGTTCAAATGTGAGCAGATGGCCCGTCCAAGCCTCGTGGGAGCAATAGCCCCGCCTGCATCCTCTTGTGCCCAGCACCTGGGCTCTGCATAGTGGACGAGTTCTAGCACTGTGAATGAAATAATGAAATGCAAAACTTCTAAACCCCTGCTATACTTGCCACGGTGGACTCTGTCACGGTTGGAAGAACCACGGCTATCGGATTGCTCAAGGGCTTGGCTGCCAACTCAAACAGCTGCACGAAAGAGGGTGTCAGTGCTAGATGCTGCCGCTGGCAATGCCTTGTCGGTTGTACCAAGTCTTGCCAAGCGTATAACCATAAACCCTAAGCCCTAAAACGCGCTAACCAGGTACCGCGATTGTGCATCTTCTTCGGCATCTACTAGTACTCGTCTGGTTGTCTATAGCTAAAACCATCCTGTCCTGAAAACCGTTGGTGTCGCCGTCACTGGATTTCTCACGTGCTTCATCAATTTCATCGCTTGCAAAAACGGAACTTCCGAACAAGACCCTATAACTCGTGCCAGACCAGAAATTGGTAAACTGCAAGTCTGTTGCCACCGGCGATGTCCTGCTCCTACGCACTTGTCCGTGAGCCTTACCCTGCTGCTTTGCCTATTCTTGCTTCGGTGCATATCACTTCGTATGTCATCTTCCATGCTGCTACGAGCTTTAGCGTGTAGGAGTGTCTGCCCCAGGTTTCAGACAAACACCTCTCTACACGATGTCAGCTACCTCAAAGCCTTTATTTCAAAGGTGACGTTAAACACCTATAGAACCCATCCATTCAAGGAGCCCTTGTAGACATATTTATTTCCTGTGACTAACAGAGATTTAAACCCTGGAAGTGCAAAACAAATTCTGTCTGAGCCAATTCCTGAACACTCTGCCAGGTTTCTTTGCAGTCTTTGCTGAAAGAAGATACCAAGGACAAATACCCTTTTTGCATCGGGCCTTTACCACCGCCCGGTAATCCCCACATTCGCTTGACGAAGTGTGGAGACAAGAAGCATCAAGCATCGCGCATCGACAGTGCTCATGACAGCCGACGCACGCGCTCAAGCCACTGTTGGCAAACTTCTGTGAACATCAGGACAAATACCCTGAACCCTAAACCCCAAAAACCCCAAACCTCTAAACCCTTTTTGCAGCAGGCCTCGTTGTCCAGCAACCTCTAAACCCTAAACCCTAAACCCCTAAACCCTAACCTCTAGTACCCCTAAAACCCTAAATCCCAAACCGAGGAGCTGGTAGGCATCCTCTAAAGCATCGCTAACGGCCGCAGAAAGACCCAGCCACTCCTTGAAACGGCATTGAGGCCGCATCAATCGCCAAGCTCTTTGGCAATATGGCTTCGGGGCCCCATTATACTAAAATTACAATAAGGAACCCCCCAGATAGTATTGGAAATTATTCAGGCCCCTATATTACGCTTGCGAAGATGAAACCGGCTGGTGTGTAACGGGGGCATCCGTGCTACTTGTGCATCTCCACCTAAAGCATACAATTACCCTGCACCCTAATCCCCAAGCCCAAAACCCCAAACCTTACGCCCACCACAGCCCACCAGTGCGTTGGTTGGAGCATCCGTGGCTCGGGCCCGAGAATGATAACGGATAACGTCCATATTACTTGGAGTTCATGGGTCTTGGTGAGTATAGCTACAAGTACTTTAACTGGGACTACAAGCACTAACAAGTATGGCTACCTGATTTACAACCCTAGTTACTCAGCCTTATGCGCCCTCAAGTACTCTTGCATTCACCGAGCGCAAGGTTCATACTTGGGTTTGGGCTTGGAGGTTCGGATCCAGGGCTGCGTCTGGAAGTACATGTGCGCAGGTTCCAGTGGCGACGCAAGCGCTGTCCACTTTTGATAAAAGGGGAGAGCTACCTACATCATATGGTCTAGCGTGAAATTTTCCACAACATAGGCCAGACATCTTCAGTTCTCATCTGACATAATGTGCCGCTGCATAGAGAAACTGTCCGGACATAAAGCTGATATTAAACTAGACTACATGTCACTATAGACTCCCTGCGCAATATTCTGGACGTTGTGCTCTTCCAGGTTCAGCCGGAAAAGCAACACCTGCTTTGAGTCACGTGCAGGACATGTCTGTCTGATACCTGTTTGAAGCGTATATGGAGTCTTAAACACATGTATATATATATATATATGTGTGTATATATATATATATATATGTCTATGCATGCTTTGTTTGCCACAATAAACCTCAGAGCCCTGAACCCCTAAACCCCGTCTCGAAGCAAGCCTCTGCCTTAAACCCTGTACCCTACACCATCATTCACATATTCTGGGCTGAGACGCTCCGCCCTCTTGGAAAATCCTCAGTCGGGAGATCGGAGCACTGCAAAAACCAAGCCGGAGCTTAAACATAGTACAGTAAGCCCCATACAGCTGGAAACCGGATTAAGGTCAAACAGTGCTGGGATTCCCTATGTATTACTCTTAAGGACTTAGGCTAATTGGGTTTCCAACTTTTGGGCTTCTACGTGTAGACTAGTACTATATAGAATTTGGTTTTGGGGGTCGAAGGTTCAGGCTTAAGGGCTTATAAGGGCTTCGCAAGGTAGAAGAGGGTTTGGGTAGTGTATGACAGTATGAGTATACCGGGTGCATACGCGGAATGAATGTTCTACTGCCTGTTTCGTACAAACAAAGAGTTCAGAAGCTGCTTGGAGTATGGGGCTTAACCGCCTGAACGCCTGAACCCAGGTTTACGGGTTTAGGATTCAGGCAGCGTCTCGAGGTCGAGAGCCGCACCAGCGACCCCTAAAGTAGCCTTTGTACAGATTCCTGCCTACGCTACTAGCAGCTACAAGTTGCGTTCTAGATGGGGGCAGGGTACTTGTTTTGGGGTCTAGGCAGTTTAGGCACAGCCAACAGGCATCCTCCTGTCGCGATGTTGCATCGGCATCCCCGACGTGCTGGACCCTAACTTACTGAACCTTGACAACCCTCAAGACCCTTAAACCGATCTGTGCTAAAATACCCCTAAACCGTACACCCTAAACCCTAAACCGATGTTTGCTATAAGAGCTGTCAAAAGGCCAGAAGCCACGCCCCCCAAGACGCTCGGCGGTCGGCGAAGCACCCATGGGTTTGGTTCGAGGCTTTGGCTCGGGTTTCGGGTTTAGGTTTGTTGTTTTAGGCTTCAGGATTAAGGGTTGGGAGAGAGGCTCCTGATGTTGAGGGTCAGTTTAGAGGTTGCGGTGTTAGATGTTCGCAGCATGGTGATCCTGCCATGTGCTGTTTTGCAGGTATCTTACTCCCGAGGGGGTGTCACGGCTTTTTGAACATGCTTCAACCTGTGGAGGCTTTGGCCTCCGGGCTGAGGGATCCAGGGTTTGGGGCTTTAGGGTTTACGGGGGTGCTAGGGGGACTTGGTTTTGGCTGCGAACTTTGCATCTTCGCTGTCATCGCTGTTGATACTCCGGAGCTAAGGCCGCAAGATTGAATCACCATGTCAGATGACAGAGGCACAAAAACATCAGCCCCCAAGACCGAAAGACTTAAATTAAAGCCTCAAGAACTTTTTAAGAGCCAGGAAGAAGCTGGGACTCAAGGCTGGGCTGGGATCCTGACAATCGCACCTATCATAGTGGTCATAACAAAACTTCAATCTAGATCTTGTCCTTGAAGGGGTCTGTATGCACTAACTTCAGGGACAATGTATGCACTATATGTACCTGCAGGAGAGAATGCGCTGAACACGCCTCTGCGATGGACCTGCTCCCAATAGATCCACCCATGACACTCCCGAAGCTCCGAAATACGGAGTCTTTCTGTTAGGGGCCCTGGAGGTAACGGTTGATGACATAAACCCTGCAGTACCCAGAATAAGGAATATAGCATAATTTCCTCAGTTTAGGGTCCTTAAGGTAATGCAGGATTTATATCATCCACCGTAAGTACTGCTACACTAAGCAGCAGATTTTCAGAGCCCAGGAGCCGAAAACAAGAACCCCAAAACCCTAGGCCCTGCTTGGAGGATCTTGGGGCCTAGTAAGTAAGGTCTTGAAGGGAACTCCAGAAAGTTGGAGTATGGTTTCAGGGTAGGATACCCTATAACTTACCATAAAGGGTTTAGGATAATCAAATTCCAACTTTCTGGCTTTTACTTTAAGTACCTGACCTGGGGTTATTAAGTATGGCTGTGATATAACCCTACTTACTAAGTCCCATGAACCTCCAAGTAGAAGCCCTTGTTACTCGGCTCAAGTCGGAGACTCTAAAATATGCCGGCACACGTACCATTTGACTGTACCCCCTTAGAACCATAGTAACAAATAATATGTTTAACATTCTCCTGGGACCTATATGAACACAAGTCAAAAAATAATTCCTAAGGAGACCATCGTTTGGGGGATTCTTATAGTAAAAGCCAGAAAGTTGGAATATGATTATCCTAAACCCTTTATGGTAAATTATAGGGTATCCTACCCTGAAACCATACTCCAACTTTCTGGAGTTCCCTTTAAAGGGATCAGGCTTGAGGGCTCTTTTTCGCAGGGCTGTACCCGGGTGCATACGGTGTGACGCTCCTAGCTGTCAGGACGATCTCAAGGGTTCTTCATGGAACTGAAGGTGTACCAGCAGGTCTGTACCAGACCAAGATAACATTAAGCCCTAAACCCCTAAACCGATCTCGGAACCTTTTTGTGCGAAACTTCTTGGCGCTGTGATCGTCATGTGCCGTCCGACCCAAGTCGCCCTCGCGATCGACACGGACTGCACAAGGACTTCGGGTTTAGGGCTTAGAGGTTTAGGGGTTTAGGGCTTATGGGGCTTATAGGGCTTCTAGAGTTTGGGGTTTAGGGTTGAACCTAAACCGTAGAACTACAAACAGCCCATTCAGAGTTTCAGAGTCGCGTGCCCGTTGGGAGCTAGCAGTCTTGCCGACACCGTGAGAGCGCAGCTGCAAAGTCACCGCGGCTTATGTGAGCCGAATCCTCACTGTAGAAGCTTTCCTTGGTTTTGGGCTTCGGGTTTAGGGTTTAGGGCACTGAGTCAGAACTTGGAGACAAAATCGCACACTCCCAGCCAGAAGCTGGAAAAACGGTGCAAGCCCCCACAGCCCTGCAAGATTGGACAGGCACTAATAATGACCCAGGAACAAACACTCAGCGGACAAGCTCGTGCAGCCGAGCCACTGCAGTCGCATGCAGGGCTTCAACCGAGGCTACACTGATTCAACCCAATGACTCGGGTTTGGGGACTTGGGGATTGAAACATGTTGGGTTAGGGTACAAGATTCAGGCTTCCTGATTGCAGAAGAAAACCTGCACTTTGCACCCCCGACGTCGCCCTAAACTGTGCTTTGGAAATGGGACGACTGGACCAAGTCTCCAGAGAGATGTGCAACGCGGAGACGTCTGGCAGCTTCCCCCCCAGGTACTCCTGAATCTTCTTCTCCAGGGAAGGTATCTCCACCACGCCTTCCGCATTTAAAATCACAGGCTGGGCATGGTGGATTCATTTTTATGGCGAGAAGTCTGAGATTTCGGCCTTCCTCATCTGCCAAGGTGTCGAAGATCGACAGCAGCTCCTCATCACCTGCTTCTCGGACAAAACAAAAACAGGCAGCGCGAAAACAACAACTGGGAATCATTCTCAGCCCTGAAATCTGTGACTCGAATTCGGGGCTTCTTCCTGCATCTGGGGTTGGGGGCTTCTTCCCGCATCTGGGGTCGGGGGTGGGGGTGATGGTGGGGGTTGCGGGGTGGAGGTCGGGGGGCGGTTGGAGGTGGGCATGGTTGTGGGCATACTGCTGCTGCGACGCTCTCTGTGAGTCTATCCAGAAACTCCAATATCCCTTCATTAAGGAACATACCTTGAATTATATAGCAGGATCCCTTCTTATAGGTACACTACTCCTTGCCAGGGATATTGGGATATTGGAGTCTCTGGGTATGGGAGATAAATGCTGTGTAACTTGTGCTTCTCAAGTTGCACTCTCGCCTTACGTCGGACTTGGGAGCTGGATTAACTAAGGCAGAACAGTATTTTTTCCGCCTGTGTGTTACCCTTTCAGCTTACCATGTCTTATAAACCTTTGGGGACATGCTTGTTGCCGTCATCATCACCATCACAATCAGCAACATCCTGCGTGTTGCAATCAATATAAGAGCTATGAATATCATCGTTGCAATTTTTGTTGCGACTCCCAGAGGGTCCATATACAATACCATTAAGGAATCAGGCCCCCAAACCATAATGGGGATGGTTTTCTGGGACCTAATTCCATAATAGTAGTGTATATGGACCCTTTGGGACTACCCAAAGGCCCCAAAGTAGTTCCTTTTGGGGGTTCGTATATAGAATCCTATAAGGTAATCCCAAAAAGGAACCACTTTGGACTCCCTGCCGAGAAACTGGTGGACTTGAGCACCTGGCCGAAGCCCTTGAGCTGCTCCTGGGATTCGGGTGTACGGTTTTGGGATCTACACGGGTTCCTTTCAAGGGATCTATATGGGTTCCCCGTTAAAGGGGTTTAGGGTTTAAGGCCTTTGGTTTTAGGGCTTTGGGAGCAAAGGGTTTACGGCTTTGCATTTGGGGTTTACGGTATATTAGGTTTGGGGTCTACGGTTTTGGGTTTTGGGTTTAAGGTTTACAATTTAGGGCTTAAGGTTTAAGGTTTGAGGCTTAGGGCCTAGGGTCAGCCAGATGAGCCTTTCTAAGTTTGAGGTGTGGGAGTCTGCCGGGATTAAAGGCCAGAGGGTATGCACACTTAGCTCGCTGACAACCGCGGCCCGCTACAAACTAGAATTACAAACTCCGAAATCCTGACCCAAACTTTGTAAACCCCAACACCAAAAAAGCAACCTGTAGACCCCAAATCCCAAATCCCTACTATAGGGGCCTTAGTAATTAGAATAGGGTTCTGGGGTATATTCTGCTATAACTACAGCAAGGACCTCCAAAATGGTGTCAACACCCCATTCTCATGATTAAAGCCCCTACAGTAGACCTTCTAAAGCCCTGTGGCCTTCGTCGCTTCGATCTCACCCAACTCTTGGCGCACCTCCTCCACATGCTCCTGTTCGGTTTAGGGTTTAGGGTTGAGGGTTTAGACTTCGGGGATGATATGGGAGCTTCCGAAATTGGGGGTACCTTATTTGGGGGCCCTTAAAGAGGGATCCTACTATTTAGGATACTATATTAAGGTCCCCTATTTTCGGAAACTCCCATGCTTGAGGGTTTTGGATTTTCGGTTTCAGGTTATGTGTTGACGGCTTGGCAATTTCGGCTCGCACACTCGCTCAAGGCAGGCAGAAGTTCCGACAGGTGTCGAGGCTTAGCGGTTTAGGAGTTTTGGGTTGATTTGTTGACATCGGCGGGAGTTTGGGGCTAAGGGAGCCTTAAAACAGAAACATCAAAGCTTGAAGTACATAGTCGGCCTAACGAAGTACTCGAAGGACCCTGAGGCGACTAAACAACCTTAGATACTCCAATATCTTTTCTTTCAAGCAAGTTACTTTGGTTTCGGAAATATTGCACTATATGTAAAATCAGAACCATATAAGAGCCATATGGATTAGTGTCACTGGGTGTTAGCTGTTGTGGCTTCTGTGCTAGCTCATTCCTATGATAGTACAAAGCGGGGCTTTAGGGTTTAGGGCTGCTGAATCTCAAGTTCATCATCTCGCAACAGTCTCGGGTTGAACCCCGTCTGTGAAGTGCCGCATTGCCTTGAGGCTCTCGATGTCATCCTGCATCACGTTCTTCTCCTTGGAAAGGCCAAGAAAGCACATGACACCTGCTGCGAGGACGGAGGGCAGTAGAGCTAGCCGTTCGTCGTCGTCGCCGTAATCGCCACCGTAACCGATGTTGTGGTGGTGGTGGTGGTGGTGGTGGTGGTGGGGCCAGGAGTGTGACTGAAAACTTTGCGGTGCTATAGGGCCTAGGATCTACGGGCAAGACCCCCACACTTGCATGCGGCAGCACCACCCAAAAATATTCGGCTGTCCGCAGGTCAGCTCATGCAGAGCTTATCTGCACCTACCAGAAATAGTAGGATCCTTATTGCAAGGACCCCAAAATAAGGTATATATCCCTGATCTTAAAGGAACCCTTTAAAGGAACCCTAAGGTACCATACAGTACCCTTCTCTATGATTCTTTGCTGGGATCTGAACGGCTTGGCTTGTAACCAAGTGGTAGCCCAAGCATGGCCGCAAGAGACAGCATCTGGGGTCGTCGCTAGGTCAGTCTCATCCTCCTGCGATGTCAGGTTGTGGTTGGGTACTGCCCCCATATAGTAACAGTCTATAATAGGGCTACTGTTAAGGTCCTAATATCTCTAAATCTATACTATGAATAAGATCCAACTGTTACTGAGTGGGGGCAGTACCCAAGGTTGTGGGTTCATGGGCTTAGAAGAAAACTCGTCGAACATGGAAGCGGCCTTCGAGCAAAATGTCACTTCTCAGCTGCTGTCGGCTCTAGGAATCAGGTTCTGCTGTTTATAGATCTTATGTGTATGTATGTATGTATGTATGTATGTATATATAAACGGGTCTGGATTTAGTTTGGGATTTTTTTTTTTTGGGGGGTGCATTTTTGTTTTTGTGGTTTGCTTGGCCGATCCCTGTGGAGGGTTCATCGGGGACGTAGAAAATTTGCACCGCACCACAGCGCCAGCGCTTCGACGCGCAGGATCCCTGTGGAGGGTTCATCGGAGTTTCCTTAAAATACAGCAATTCCTGAATTTCCCAAGGGAAAACATTATTTTCTATGGATTTTCTTTCATTTCCTTAGGATCTGATTGGTTTTTCCTCGGGGAAACACGATTTTCCTACGGATTCCGTGGTATTTCCTGAAGTTTTCCTTTGCTTTTCCTAGGACAAACACCATTTTTCTATTACCTATGGCATTCGTGTCATTTCTTCAGGTTTTCAGAAGGAAAACATACGTTATCTTTGGTTGTTCCTCGGGAAAATCAAATTTTCGTTGCAATTTCGCATTTAGGACGGAATTCGTGTTGTAGCTGTTGCTGGTATTCCGCTTCATCACCTATCTTAAACACACCCCCTCATTTGGCGATTCTGGTTAGCGGGGGGGTTGGGGGGGGCGCAGCCCCCCCCCATTTGCAGACACAACGCTCACATGATGGGTTTCGAAAACACTGTTTGAATCAAGCTTGCACGGCTCGAAAAGCGCGGCGGTGGGTCTTTCGTTCTTCCGTGCCTGTTCGTGTCTCTTCTTCCGTCAGCATTCTATAACATAATATAACATAGTCAACCATAAGAACGACATAAGATGGTTCGACATCACAAAAACCGTGTGACATTTTCTGACATAACAGAACCTTGCTTCTTATAGCATCTAATAAACATAACAAAAGACGACAATACAATATAACAGAAGATAACATAGAACAAAACAAGATCTTAGTTTATAGTGTAGTACATTGTAACATAGTACAATATAGTTTTTTTATATATAGAACATAATATTTGGTATATAATATAACATCAGGTTACATTATGCCAAATATTTTAGGGCCCATTACGATATTATTGCATATTCGATTGGACTATGTAGTATCCTATTGCTTGTATCTTTGTTTCTGTGATTCTTTCATGTTCTTTCTCTTTCGTATTTTCCAACTTTGCCTGTTTATTCTGGATTTATTTCTTTCTTTCGCTCGTTCATTTCTTTTATTTCTTTCTGGTGTTCTTTCTTTATTCATTTCATACTCCCTTCCTTCCTTTCTTTCTTGCTTTCTTTTTCATTTATTTCGTTCTTTTTCTCGTCCTTTCTTTCTTTCGTCCTGTCTTCGTTTCTTTCTTTCTTTTCAGATACAGCAATTCTTGAATTTTTCCAAGGGAGAACACTGTTTTCCTATGGATTCTCTTTCATTTCCTAAGGATTTGCTTGGTTTCTCCTCTGGAAGACATGATTTTCCTACGGATTCCGTTGTGTTTTCCAAGTTTTCCTTAGTTTTTCCTAGGAAAAACACCATTTTTCTATTACTTATGGCATTCGTGTCATTTCTTCAGGTTTTCAGAAGGAAAACATACGTTATCTTTGGTTGTTCCTCGGGAAAATCAAATTTTCGTTGCAATTTCGCATTTAGGACGGAATTCGTGTTGTAGCTGTTGCTGGTATTCCGCTTCATCACCTATCTTAAACACACCCCCTCATTTGGCGATTCTGGTTAGCGGGGGGGTTGGGGGGGGCGCAGCCCCCCCCATTTGCAGACACAACGCTCACATGAATCAAGCTTGCACGGCTCGAAAAGCGCGGCGGTGGGTCTTTCGTTCTTCCGTGCCTGTTCGTGTCTCTTCTTCCGTCAGCATTCTATAATAACATAATATAACATAGTAAACCATAAGAACGACATAAGATGGTTCGACATCACAAAAATAGTGTGACATTTTCTGACATAACAGAACCTTGCTTCCTATAGCATATAATAAACATAACAAAAGACGACAATACAATATAACAGAAGATAACATAGAACAAAACAAGATCTTAGTTTATAGTGTAGTACATTGTAACATAGTACAATATAGTTTTTATATATAGAACATAATATTTGGTATATAATATAACATCAGGTTACATTATGCTAAATATTTTAGGGTCCATTACGATATTATTGCATATTCGATTGGACTATGTAGTATCCTATTGCTTGTATCTTTGTTTCTGTGATTCTTTCATGTTCTTTCTCTTTCGTATTTTCCAACTTTGCCTGTTTATTCTGGATTTATTTCTTTCTTTCGCTCGTTCATTTCTTTTATTTCTTTCTGGTGTTCTTTCTTTATTCATTTCATACTCCCTTCCTTCCTTTCTTTCTTGCTTTCTTTTTCATTTATTTCGTTCTTTTTCTCGTCCTTTCTTTCTTTCGTCCTGTCTTCGTTTCTTTCTTTCTTTTCAGATACAGCAATTCTTGAATTTTTCCAAGGGAGAACACTGTTTTCCTATGGATTCTCTTTCATTTCCTAAGGATTTGCTTGGTTTCTCCTCTGGAAGACATGATTTTCCTACGGATTCCGTTGTGTTTTCCAAGTTTTCCTTAGTTTTTCCTAGGAAAAACACCATTTTTCTATTACTTATGGCATTCGTGTCATTTCTTCAGGTTTTCAGAAGGAAAACATACGTTATCTTTGGTTGTTCCTCGGGAAAATCAAATTTTCGTTACAATTTCGCATTTAGGACGGAATTCGTGTTGTAGCTGTTGCTGGTGTTCCGCTTCATCACCTATCTTAAACACACCCCTTCTGGTTAGCGGGGGGGTTGGGGGGGCGCAGCCCCCCCCATTTGCAGACACAACGCTCACATGATGGGTTTCGAAAACACTGTTTGAATCAAGCTTGCACGGCTCGAAAAGCGCGGCGGTGGGTCTTTCGTTCTTCCGTGCCTGTTCGTGTCTCGTCTTCCGTTAGCACTCTATAACATAATATAACATAGTAAACCATAAGAACGACATAAGATGGTTCGACATCACAAAAATAGTGTGACATTTTCTGACATAACAGAACCTTGCTTCCTATAGCATATAATAACATAATAAAAGACGACGATACAACATAACAGAAGATAACATAAAACAAAACAACATCTTAGTTAATTTATGTCATTTCGTCTTTCTTTATTTCTCCATTTTTTGTTCATTCGTTATGTCTGTATTATTTGCTTTTCTTTGTTTCTAACTCTCGTTCGTCCTTTCCTTGTGTTTTCTTTTTTATTTCCTTATAGCTTTCTTTATTTATCTATTTGTGTATTTTTGATTTCTTTCTTTCCTTATAACTATGCTTTATGTATTTCGTTCTTTCTTGCTTTCTTGCTTTCTTGCTTTCTTCCGCTCTTTCTTTGGTTCGTTCTTTCTTTCTTTATGTTTCTTTCTCTCTCTCTCTCTGTCTTTCTTTCTTTCCTTCGTTCTTTCTTTCTTTTTTTTTCTCTCTCTCTCTCTCTCTCTCTTTCTGTGTCTTCTTTCCTCCGTTACCCCCCCCTCCTTTCGTGGATACCTGTTTAATTTTTTTGTGATCCTTATTTAATTTCTTTTGGATCCTTATTTTATTTTTTTGATCCTTATTTAATTTGTTTTTAACCCCTATCCCGTGGTTGTGGTTGTGGCTGTGGCAGAGGACTAGGGGACCGCATGCACCAGGGGACCAGGAGACCACGGGACCAGAGGACCAGCAGACCAGAGGACCAGGGGACCACAGGACCAAGGACCAGAGGACTAGGGGACCGCGAGCAGAGGACCAGGGGACCACAAGACCAAGGACCAGAGGACTAGGTGACCGCATGCACAAGGGACCCTTGGCCGCACCTCGCAAACAAGGGTAGGCCGCACCTTGGAAAAAAAAAAACCCATGGCCCCTATCCCGCTTTACTGACCTAAATTCGCCTCGGCTCGGCTTAGGGTTGAGGGCGTGACTTAAGGACTGATTTATGAGGCTCTCTATGCCGAAGAAAAAAGCCAAGAAGCCGAAAAGCCAAGAAGCCAGAGGCCAAGAAGCCAGGGAAGCCGAGAAGCCAAGCCAAGCGCGCACACAAGCCAAAAAAAAAAAAATGCCCCCCCCCAAAAAAATCCTAAAATAAATACGCCTCCTATATATATATATATATATATATATTATATTATATATATATATGCTCATATATATATATACATATATATACATATATATATATATATATATATACGGAAGCACACACACACACATATTTATCTATAACATATGTATTTACATGGAGAGGAAGAGACTCTGTGTGAGTATGCGTGTGTTTGTTGATTTACTAAGGTCGGCCCCGATAGTGCTCCATTCCTGGAGGCTCCACATACAGTACCATTATGGAATGAGGTCCCAAAAGACCATCCATGTTATGGCTTTGGGGAGCTAATTCCATAATGGTACTGTATATGGAGCCTCTGGGATTTAATGCCATGTTAACGAACCCTAAGGTCAAATCAGGCTCCTGAGTCTGGTGTGAAAGCTGGAGGGTGTAACATGCAAACCCCGACCCCGTAAACATTGAACCTATAAGAACTGCGCGGTAATACCAAACCCTAAACCCTAACAACCCAAACCTTAACCTTGAAGCCCCAAGGCCTAAACCTCAAAGTCTGAGACATCCCGACGCCCTACACCTACACCCAACCCGGAAAGCAGACAGCTAAACCAAAAACCCGAAACTCCAAAACCCTTAAACCCTAAACCCTTAACCCTAAACCCTAAACCTTAAACCCTAAGCCCCCAAGAAAACCGCCAACCTTATCACTGTAAGCCCTGGTGAATTAAGGTGTATTCCTTAATTAAGGGAGTATGGAGTCTCTGGGTGGTTTAGGGTTCATGGGACTTAGTAAGTACTTAAAGGGCTCCTTAAAGGGATCTATAGGGTTCCTTCAAGGGATCTATAATAGGGTTTAGGGTTTAGGGTGTACTTGGAGGATCATGGGACTTAGTAAGTCCAGCTAGAAGTACCTTAATTGGGGACATAAGTAATTATAAGTATGGTTACCATATTTATAACCCTAGTTACTAAGTCCCATGATCCTTCAAGTAGTGCCTGTTTTGAGGTTTGGGGCTTTTGGATAAGTGCTGAAGGAATAGGAGCCGCAGCGGCACCTGATAGAACTTTAAACAATCACATCCCTACACCGGCGCATGCTTTTTTCTAGAGCTTCTGGGGAGGACGGCCTTTTGGCCCTTGCTTGCTCAGGGTTGACCCTATAGTACTACAGACCCTTTTTGAGCACGGGCTTTGGTTGTATGCCGGCAAGCTGGGCTCCCAAGGTCATCATGAGATACCAGCAAACTTGAAACTAACTCATGTCAAGAAAGAGAACTATGTACTTCTTACAATCCACCCTATAGACCCTTTTTTGCATCGGGCCTTTACCACCGCCCGGTAATCCCCACCCTATAGACCCTAAACCCTGAACACATCTCAGTAAAGCGGGACGCAGTGCTCCTAATTCGGGGCGTAAAGATCGACTTCGTGGTCAAGAACGTTTTCGGGGTTCAGGGTTAAGGCTTAGAGTTTAGGGTCTAGGGGTTTTGGGTTTAGGAGACTGTAGCAAAGAAATGAAAAATCGCTTTCCCTCTCCATGTAGAGAAATCATACCTACTTTGAGGTCTATTGTCTACAAGTAGTGCCTCCTTTGGGCTACTGTATCTGTAGTCCAGCATTTCGCGATCAAGTATAAGAAGGGATTCCTTCAGCAAGGGGTTGGTCCTTCCCCGGGTTTTGTTTGGGGAGCATCGCGTGCATGCACTCAGAATACTGCACCAGATCCAAAAGGGCAATTGGGAATAACATATACTGTGTCCCTTTGCAAAACCATGTAGAGTCCTGCATATACCTGCATATGCTAACCAAAACTAAACGCTCAACCCTACCGTATCACCATAAACCCTAATCCCATAAGCCTTTGTCTAAGCCCCTAAACTGAAACCCTAAGCCCACAACCCTAAACCCTCAGTCACAACCCCACACACCTAAACCAATGATTTTGGAAGCCCTACGAGACCCTTATGAAGGAAGCCCTATGAATTCCTTATGGGGGAAGCCCTATGTGATGACTCCCCTTAGCAATGAAGCCCTTGGAGCCCCCTGGCCTTCGGCGCCCGGGCCGACCGGTCCATGTTCTTCCGGATCCACTCGTGGATTTGAGAGTCGGAGAAACGGCCCTGGAGGCCTCAAGGGATTTGGGAGTTTAGGGTTCAGGGCTTAGGGTTTAGGGTTTGGGCAGTTTCCGAAAATAGGGTACCCTAATATAGTTCCCTAAAAAGCAGGATCCTTTTTATAAGAGCCCCCCAAAATAAGATACCCCCCCATTTTTGGAAACTCCCATTTCGCACAACGCGGAATAGGGCTTCGATATGCACTGCTTCGGAATAGGGTTTCCAAGGGCTTCGGGTGAAAGATTATAGACGCCTTCAAATAGTGCCCGAATAGTGCCCGAATAGTGTCCGAAATAGTGCCGGAACTAGTGCCCGAATGAACCCTTTATGCCGCCTTAATCCCCGGATACAGACAACAAAATTGCTCTTCAATGTCCCAGACGGCATGGCTGTCGCACGAACCAGAAAACTACTGGCCAACAGCAACAGAGCTACAGCTACTCCTGAGGGTCCACATCTAGTTTCACACGGGTGGTTGTCAATATTATGGTCCCCTTTCTGGGAACCCGAAATAGTAGGTGCCGTACTATAATAAGGACCCAAAAAGGGACCCTAATTTTGACAACCACCCATATAGAGTATAGAACCCTATTATAGATCCCTTATAGAACCCTTTAAGGATCCCTTTAAAGGAACCCCCAAGGGAACCCAAAAAGGGACCCTAGCAGACCAGTCGCCGGCTCAATAAGAGGCAGGCGGCCCAAGATGTGATCGCGCTCATCTTGTGTCAGCAGAGCCGGGACTGCATTCACATCCTTACCCAGAGGCCCCAAAGTAGTTCCTTTTTGGGGTTCATATATAGAATCCTATAGGGTAATCCCAAACAGGAACTACCTTGGGGTCTCTGGGTAGCGTGATGCTGGATGTTGGGTCAGAATAGAGTTCCTGTATGATAATTATGGCTTCTTCTCTGGGCACGCAGGCATCAAACCATGTATCAGTGCACACGGAGAGCTAGGCCCACCTTGTTTCTGGGACACAGTTCAGAGTTTCGGGCTTATAGGCTTTTGGGAAAAGGGCTGGGAGAAACATAGGATGAAGTGAACCTACAGACGGTGCCGTGAGACTCCGGGAACTTTTGCACCGGTGCTGGAAAGGTACACGGTGTTTACTTTAGCAGTCGGAATGGTAAGCTATCATGCCACACCTGGTGCGATTTAAGTTGCAAACCAGAGAGATATGTCCCGAAGCCAAAACTTTGCACACATTGCGAGCCTCCTGAGTTCTATACTGTATGCACCGTCAGCCAACCGAGCAGCAGTTGCGCAGGGGCGCAGAAAAAGGAGGACGTGATTGGGGATGTCCTGCCGGCACAGCAGCTGAAGGCAAGACGACTACCAGATATCCACAAAGCTAGTCACGCAGCCTCAGAAACGCTAAGCCAAGCCGAGTTTTGCAGTGGCCGAGCCTGAGTGCTGTCGCCATGGATCGTGCACGATCCGAGAAGAGCGTCTGCTGGGCCGAGCGAACTGTCCGAACTTTATTCTAGTCTAAACCTATAGTAGGAGCCCAAAAGTTGGAAACCCCATAGCCTCAATCTTTAAAAGTGATGTATAGGGAATCCCAGAGCCATTTGACCTTAATCCGGTTTCCAACTTTATGGGGTTTACTGTAGACCCTGAAAGCGCATTTTTGCGGTGTGTCCTGGTCTAAAGACAGCGCCAGCCAATCTTGAAGTTGAGCCCCTGTCACGCTGTTCGAGGGTGTGTTGAATTTGGGCTCCGAACTTCCGACAAGGGACCGAGGCTGTTATGCATGTCTGTATGTGTGTATGCATGTATGCATGTGTGTATGTACAAGGTCTCCGGAATCTAGAACATTCAACATCTCATCACCCAAGGTTCAGGATGTAGCGTCTATGGAACCGGCACAGCACGTAAAACCCGACTCTTCTGGGCGATTTGGGTCAGTTCAGTGGAGGAAGGGCTCCTCCTACGGTATGAGTCAACTCGAAACAACTGGATCGCTTGTCTTCTATAAACCTTTAGGGTCTAGGGTTTAGGGTTTAAGCGTTTACGTTCTCGCAACTCGCACACAGCCAGACGAGGTTCTTGGTTCGCAGCGTCGTACTGGTTGGGGGTTTAGGGAAGTTTCGGGCCTAGCCTGGGTTCAAGACTCCAGTCGGCTGAACTGCAGCCAAAGACGCGAAGATTCGACTCACTGCCCAGCCAAAGCATCCGTCGCCGCCTCTAAACTTTCAGGATTTCTGGTTGATGAGTGGCTTGCACGACATTCACAAACAATCTTGTTCGGCTTTGGAGGCACATCAAGTATGCTTGTCCTGCTACACGAATCTTACCTGCTTGAGGCGTGAGTCACGCACAAATGGAGAAAGCATGGACAGTTTCAGGCTAGCAGTTCCAGGTGCAGATATGGGAGTTTCCAAAAATAAGGGGTACCCCATTTTGGGGTCCTGATAATAGGGATCCTACTACTAGGGTCCCCTGTTTTCGGAAACACCCATCTGGTTCTGTGCGAGGTGCTGTACGTTGACAGCAAGGAAGACTGTAGATGAGAGGGACATGTCTTGGGTTGGGAGAACCGCATATCAGAATACGCCTCCGACAAGTGCTCAACAGCCTCAAATTGCCCTCAGACTGTGCTACATTGTGCTGGCAACTCTACATTCGATGTTGAGGCCCTTACCCCAAACCGAAAGCTAGCCGACTCTGGTGGGTTATTCATTCCCTCCCTCCTAATATTAAAAGGCCCGTCCCTGCTCCCTAATATTGAACCCTGAATTCCGCGCCCCGGTTTTAATATGAGGAGAGGGATCTGGGACATACGGGTTTGGGTCAGATAGGAGGTAGGACTACAACGGCAGCCGTTCCGGCTGCAAAGCAGCCTAAACCTCAATTAAGCACTGAGGCCCTAGACCCTAAAGTCCTGGTCGTGTCGGTTTAGTAGTAGCTCGAGGACCTAAAGCCCTAAGCCTTAAACCCTACGGTCCTGGTCCTTTCGGTTCAATACTACTGCGGTCTTGGCTCTGTTAAAACTCATACAACCCTAGCTCCTCCCTAATGTATTGAACTAACTTTCAATCGTGGGCACGAAATCGCAAAAAAATCGTGAGGGCCGGAGAGTTTAATATTCGGGGGGCTTTCATATTGGGGGTAGAGATTAAACTGGTAGCCTATGTCTGCCTGTCAGCAACACTTTCCATCTATACATACACAGCGACATGTGTGCTTGCGTGTGTGTATATACACACACACATATATATATATATATATATATGTATATATATATATATATACACATAGCAGAAACAAACTGACGCAGTGAAATTGCCACACATTCGTCGTATTGGGATGGCAACCTGAGGACCGGGCTCGTTCTCCCTCAAGAGCTCCTGAGGGGTCAACGCGTTGAGATCCACCTGGCCGCTGTGCTCCGCTCTGAGGTGATGAGAGGCCAAAAAGGGAGGTTTCAGAGTCTTGGGGTAGGGATTCCTTCATATGAACCCTTTTAAATTACGGGAACCCTAATCCCTACTAAACCCCCCTAGGCTAAGACCCATTTCGGCCTCCTATGATGAGGAACGACAGCATACAAAGAATATCTCATTAAATGTGCGGCCTGTCATGGAGTGGGGGCTGCTGGGTCAGTAGTAGTGGTCGCAGTAGTAGCAGCATGGGTAGGAGCAACAGTAGCAGCACTAGGACGTAGTAGTAGAAGTTTAGCAGTAGCAGTAGTCGTGGTGGTAGTAGTAGTAGTACTGGTAGCAGTGGCCGGAATAGTAGTAGCAGTACTTGTAGTACTACTACTACTCGTAGTAGTAGTAGTAGTAGTAGTAGTAGTAGTAGTAGTAGTAGTAGCAGTAGTAGTAGTAGCAGTGGCCGGAATAGTAGTAGCAGTACTTGTAGTACTACTACTACTCGTAGTAGTAGTAGTAGTAGTAGTAGTAGTAGGAGCAGAAGTTGTTGTCGTTGTTGTCGCAATAGTCTACCACTATCACTACCAATACCAGGACCAACACCACCACGACGACTACTACTACTGCTACTACTACTACTACCACCACAACCACTACTACGACTGCTGCTGCGGCTACTGCTACTGCTACCACTACTACAGCTGCTACTACTATGGGCTTAGGGGTTTCAGGCCATCAAGCATCTTTTTGTGCAATGGTCGAATCTCACCAAAAAAGTGACCTTTACCAACATGTCCAAAACATCGCTATGAAGTACATTGCATGCTGAGAATCATAGACCCATGTAAGTCTGCTCTATTACTTGTCTCTTCACATACAGATTACAAGGCCGAAACAGAAACGGCATGGATTGTTAACCTAGCTTGCATAGCAATGACACTGGCGGCTGTTGTCCCGTGACAGAGTTTTGCTCTCCAAGGCCTCAGACATAGCGGGGCTCTCAGTGGTTCAGTGGTGCTTTTTGCACACGAAGTATCCAGGAAAGAGCTTGTGGGCTTCGGGGCAGAACCCGCTGTTCTGCTAATGATGCCACAGCGCATTGCAGAGCCCCACTAATAATTACAGGAGCCTGAATAATTAGAATACGGCTGGGGGGTATAATATACTGTAAAAGTTAAAATAAGGAACCCCCCCAAATAGTACTGGTAATTATTTAGGCCCCTATATTACTGTCACCGCCAGAGTGTTCATCACCCCAGGTCACGACCTCTGCACTGCAAAGAACGGCAGCAAAAGCGCGGTGACATGCTTGGATATGTTGTACAAATTTCGGCTGATCCTGAACAGCACTACGATCACCACCACAATCACAATCGCCCCAGCTCACGAAAGACCCGTCAGCAAGCAAGGCGGCAAAAGCCGACTGGGAGGCTTGGATTTGCTGCACATTCTTCAACTTATGCTGCACGGCACTGCAGTCACCACCAAACTCAGCAAGACCCCAGGTCACGACCGTTCCGTCGCCAAGAATGGCAGCGAAAGCTGCTTGAGAAGCCTGGATCTTCTTCACTTTCTTCAGCTGATTCTGCACGGCACTGCTGTCGCCACTGGCAGCAGAACCCCAGGTCACGACCGACCCATCAGCAAGAATGGCGGCAAAAGCAAACTTAGAGGCTTGGATGTGCTGCACATTCTTCAGGCGAGGCTGCACAGCACTGCTATCACCCCCATATCCAGCATCACCCCAGGTGACGACAGATCCATCGCCGAGGACAGCAGCAAAAGCACCGGCTGAGGCTTGGATGCACTCAACGTTCTTTAGTTGATCCTGCACCGCACTGCTGTCACCACCGCACGCAGCAGCACCCCACGTCACAACCGCTCCATCACCAAGAATGGCAGCAAACGCATTGTCGGTGGCTTGGATTTGTTGTACATTCTTCAACTGAGACTGCACGTCACGACTGTCACCGCCACAACGCTGATCACCCCAGGTTACGACAGATCGGTCGCCAAGGATGGCAGCAAAAGCAACGCCGGAGGCTTGGATCTGCTGCACATTTTTCAGCTGATACTCCACAGCACGACTGTCACCACCATGGCCAGCAGAACCCCAGGTCACGACAGATCCGTCACCAAGAATGGCAGCAAAAGCAAAGTTAGAGGCTTGGATCTGCTGCACATTCTTCAGGTGCTCGTGTACATCAAAACTGTCGCCTCCACATTGTGTATCACCCCAGGTGACGACAGAACCATCAGCAAGAATGGCGGCAAAAGCATGATGAGAGGCTTGGATCTTTTTCACGCACTGCAGCTTTGCCTGCACTGCGCTGCTGTCACCACCTGACGCAGGCCTGCCCCAGGCCACGGCGGATTCATCTCCCAGAATAGCAGCAAAAGCGTTGAAAGTGCTTTGGACCTGAACTGTATATATGTGAAAAAGCAGTGGGTCGCAGTTCTGTAAACTGGCATCTTTGACCGGTGCAGCTGCGTCCAGAACGGTTCCAAAAGAGTCCACCAGCCGCCCTTTTCCGACTTCAAGTGCGGTCTGCGCCCGAAATTTCAATAGTTCAACCTTTTCATCCAAGGCCGCTTCAACCGTGGCCGTCTTGCCACTGAGCAGTCGAACTTCCAAAGTTATCGACATGTGGCATGCCCGCCCCCATGTCCAATGCTAGCACAACTGCTGTTACTACAAGTTGTTTGCTGTGCCTAAACACTTTTTTTTGCCTAAACCGGGCATGGCAAGCCTGAGGCTTTCACACAGGTTCCTTGACCCCAGTCTCTATAGCATACTCCTATTAACAAAACCTCTATCCACACATGCCTAAGAACTCTCATGCTGTTATCCTGTCGAAATTTCCAGTCGGCCAAGGCAAGCATTTCGGCGAAGAACATCGCAATCCGTTGGGACAAGGGGAAGGGCCTTGAACAAGGCCCTCAATGCATACACGGTGCAGACAACTACGTAGGTAGACAAGTGGGGTATGCATGAATGTACGTATGCATGTATGTATGTCAGCATGTATGTTTGTTTGTATGCATGTGTATGTACATGTATACGTACGCATGCATGCAAACCAACTGAAGGCCTACAAAGGCCCAGCCAAAGCCGGTTCAGAATCCTCTGCTTTGCCTCTGCCAAACAGCGGTCGTCCTCCTCGCGCTTCTCGAGTGTTTGTTGCAAGATGAAGCGCAGCCGAACCTTTGCAATCATGAGGCTCACCATGGGCACACATGACTTGAGATTACTTGACAGAAAGCAAAACAGAGACAGAGAGCGAGAGAGAGAGAGAGAGAGAGAGAGAGAGAGAAGGGGAGAGACGGAACCAGCATAATGAGAATTAGTAGACATATACTTTCAGTCGTACATATAAACACACACAACATACTTGCATGCACACATGCATGCATACACGCATGCATACATGAATACGCACACGCATATGCACCAAAAGCATCACATACCGGGTAGCCTAGCTAATCACACGCATGTTCACATAATCGTCAAACGACTCTTAGTGTTGGCCGGCTATCATACACCGGCTTTCTATGTAGCACACCGATTGCAACAGTTTGTCATGGTGCTAACCCATTCCTAGACTCTGACTAAGAGTTTCACCACGGTATAGGGTTTAGGGTCTTCCGGTTCTGGGCTCCAGATTACGAGTTGCATCGTTTCGAGACGGGCTATAATGCAAAAAACGATTGTCATCTGCCAGTGGGACTTCAAGCATGCAAAACAGATGCATGCCCCCCGTTGCTGCCCTCGCCGACAGATCCGTGCTCAGATTTATGCAGGGGTTTCTTGAGGACTCCCCACACACATACGCAGTAGCCAGGGTTTAGCGTTCAAGGCTTGCAGATGTTATAGCAACCGTCTGGTGGCTTTGGGAGTCGTGGCTTCTTGTCAACTTAGGTGAAGCGTTCGGGCTTCTCTGGACGGTCATAACAACCATCTTCGCAGTCAGGTTCCGCAACTATAGGCCATTGCCATGATCCAAAAACGAAGCTATCTATCTCTATCTCACAGCTCAGACCTGGTGACGACATACAGAGCACCGCGTACAGTTTGATAAGCCCGGTGGCACAAAACGAATGAAAAGCTACATCCTCTCAGCCTAGCCCTAGATCGAACACCCCCTCACCACCGCCGTGAGCCCACGAAATGCTGTAGCCTGTAACCCACAAGCGCTGAATGCCGAAGTCGTTTTCGTGCCGGGCCACTGCATGCATGGTTCGGGGAAGCAACAGACCCTCGAACCACGCACTCCAAGTGTAGACGCCCATGACCAGGCCTTGGCATTGGCAGTGTTTGGCGGGAGTGACTAGGGTTCAGTATTCATGTTTTGACATCACTCCCCGACTAGCCTGGCAGGGTCTTTATGTTTAGGGTTTAGGGTTTGGAGTAGGTGTTTGGTGCACCCAGCTTGGGGTTTTGAGGGCGGTTCTTGAATCATCTGTAAGGCTCCGTTAGGGGGCTCGGGTCTTAAGATACACGGTGTAAGACATCAGAAAACCAAGCAGGATTAGGGTGGTTTTCTGCGTCGCGACGCAGTGCACACTCTTCGATTTAGCCTCTCAAGTTCAAGACCCTTGGGCCCTAAACCCATGGGGACCCTTACGAGGGTAGGGGGAGGGGGAGTAGTGGTCTATACTTCCTTAAGCAAGGGGTCCCTATTATAAACCCTCAACTCCACGGTACACTTGTCCCTGGACTTGGCTTGCCGGGCCGTGAACCGAGATCCGAGTGAAGTTGCGGCACATAAACGAAAAGACCAAAGAGCGGCAGCAAGAGCAAAGGCGGTAGCAGCAGCCATACAAGCGGAAGCACAAGCAATACCAGACGAGTTTTGTGGCTCCGACTTGGCGCGTCTGGCGACCCGCATTGCAGGCATAAGGTCCCGCATGCATAGTGTAAAGCCCGCCACAACGCACAAGCCTAACGGGTTGCTCTGAAAGGTTTCCCAGAGAAAACAAACATCAGTACAGCATTACTAGCTGCGGTAGCGTTAGCAATCGTAGTCGTCGTTGTAACAGTCGCAGTGGCGGCGGTAGTCGTCGTCAGCGGTCGTCGTCGCCGGTATCGTAGATGCCGACGAAATCATCCTCGCCATCATCCGTCATCATGGAGGTGTTCCAAGAACCGCTCTCACGAATCCAAAACATGCGCTCCGTCATGCTGACAACCCCCCACCCCATTCGAAAATCTGAGCCCTAGACCCTGCAGCACCCTAAAATGCTGCAAGCGGACCAGCTTCGGCTACAAGGCATGTCGTAATCTGGACATGTGGGTGGTTGTCAAAATTATGGTACCTTTTTGGGCCCCTATTATAGTACGGCACCTATTAGGGTACCCAAAAAAAGGGACGGTAATTTTGACAACCACCCGTGTGAATATAGTGAGTCTTGAGATTGAAGCTTGCAGGTCGGTTCTACATCTCCGCCGAAACCGAGGATGGTGATTCTAGCGGCCTCTCTGCTGCGCCAAAGGCGGGATCGAGGTTGCAAGAAGTAAGTTTACAAGGTTAGATAGACAGATAGGTAGATAGACCTTCAGATAGCCAGATACATAAGCAGTCTTGTCTCATATGCGCACACCCGCCTACATAAGGTTATATGTATATATGTGTGTATATCAACATGAAAATATAAATATAACTATGCAAATAAATAAATATATAAATATAAATATAAATATATATATATATATAGACATACATATATATGTAATGTATGTAGATGCATGCATTCATACATTCATGCATGCATCGTACATACGTACGTACATGCACGCATACCTCTGCACTGTAAGCGCACGCATTTACTTACTCTTCAGGCTCCGTTATTGGAGTTATGAGTCTTTTTGCCAAAGGGGCAAAGCTCTCGCAGGATGTAGCGGGGAAGCTTCTGGATGGCCAGTGGTCCATCATCTTCAAAGCTCGGGGTAAGAACACGGATGTCCTGAACGGTTCAGGTTTTACCTTTAACCCCAATATCCTACCCTTTTAAGGACTTATATAACGAAATCATAATAAGGAAACCGAAAAGGGAAGTTCTTCAGGCTCCATGTAGGGTTTGAGGCTGACGGTCGCCAGCGCGAAAGTTTGTATTCATACTTTCATTTTCAATCCACCTGGGATCATACAGTGTTTTAGAGTTTTGGAAATTAAGATCGAGGGTGTTGGATGCCTGGTTGAAGGGTTTGCTTGTTGGACTGGGCCTGGCCAAGGCCTCCTCAGGACGGCCACGTATGTCAACGGTTGAAACCAGCCCCAAGTATGGGCCCTTAACCCTGGGATGCCTCAAAACCTACGATATACCCTATATAGACCTTTCAGGGTGCCTAGAACTTCCTCAAAAAGGCCTAAGGGTCCAAAATAGGGGGACCATCCTTCTAACCTTAGAGTATGGAACCTTTTCCGTCAATGCGCCCTCTTGAATACTTACTTCCAGCACCACTGCCCTTTCCTAAAGCCACAAGCCGAATCCATCCCTATGAATGCCCGGCCATCAAGCCCCTGAGAACTCTAAAATGCCCTGAAACAAGCCGTTTTGCAACCCGCTGGCGCAACTGGGAAACCTAAAAAGCAGTAAAGACAACAGCCCTTTTGCCTGAACCCAAATTAACAAATCCGAAAGCACAGCCCATCAGGTAACCTAAACCCCATAAACCGTTTCCAAGAAAACCCCAAACTTATTACGTGTCCAGCACCCTAGCGGAACTAAAGGTTAACCTAGCGACGATGATAACCCCGAAAAAATTCACTCCCTACCTACCCTATACCAAGCCTACAAAACCCTTCAGGCTTAGGAAAAAACAAGATACCAGTGTTGATAAAGACCCTTAAACCCTAACCCCCCCCCCCCAAAAAAAAAAAAAGAAAGCATATGGGTAGCTCTCTACATTGGGGGTCCCTTTTAGGGTCCCTTTTATTATGGTGCAGTACTATTTTGGGGATTCAAAAAGGTACCTTCATGTAGAGAACTACCCATAAGAAGCTGCCCCCACCCTGTAATAGTGACTATAAGGATTGTATTAATATTATATTAGGGCCCTATTATATTCCTATTATACCACTATTACAGGGTGGTGGCAGCTTCTACACTACCCATCTTAGGACGGTCACTGCCAGCCTGAGCTCGGATGACGCCACCCTGCGTCAACGACCGGAGTGTCGCGGTGATCGTCCTTGCGGTACTCTTCCCCTTGGGCTCTAAGGACTCATATAGGGTTCCTTTAAAGGGATCTATAAGGGGTCCTGTAAAGGGGGCTCTAAGGGGTCCAAAGACTATACTATATAAGGCTTTTGGGCTATTTTGAGCCTTACTCTCCAAGAACCCTTACACTACCCGTGAACGTTTAGGGTTCTATCAGCGTACTATGGGTACTACCGGTACTACCCTTAACTACGTCTCGAACTCAACAATCCCCCAAGTTATCTATAATTCGGGCAGCAACAACCAAAATTGAAAACCATCCCAATCCGACACCTAGTCTGCAAGGTTTAGGGTTTAGGGCAAGGTCTGGACTCTCACAGCTTGGACAATCGGAGCGAGGAATCTGTGTTCCTTGAGCAAACCGACAGATTACTTCATATGAGCAAAACTTAAGGCTTCGGGTTTGGGGTGGCGGCAGGTTCCTTTAAAGGTTCCCAAAGGGTCTCAGAAGGGTTTAGGGTTCAAGGGTCTATGTACCCAAAAATATTTTTTCATGGGCCCCAGAGTACCCAGACCTTCCAAAATGCCTTAATTAAGGAATATACCTTAAATCATAATAGGATCCCTAATATGATTTAAGGTATATTCCTTAATTAAGGGATCTTGGACGGTCTGGGTACCTATAGCGACTAGGCCAAAGGATATACTACTTGGGTACATGGACCCTTTGGGCAAAGTTTCGAGTTTGGGGTGGCGGTAGGGGTTACCAAGGCTGCTAAGCACTCAGGTTCTTTGCGTTGCAGGGTGGCGGTGGGTTGGGGTTTGTAGTGTCTAAGGTTGGCGGATGGACACTGGGCTCTCCAACTTGCATGCAATGCATAACTATTGAAATATATTATTAGGAGCCCTACAGCCCTAGAGCCTTCGACCAAAGCCTTTAAAGCCGTAAAGCACCAAACAAACAAATGGCATCGACACCTTTGTCGTGAGTCCTCGCACTTAAGGCAGGGGAACTGCCCATAGAATTCCAATTAAACTCTTAAGCAGGTCTGCCACTGCCGAAAGAAACAACACATCCAACATCTCCCTGCCCCTGAAGGAAACTAAAATCCTAAACACACCCGCCCATATCATTTGCGACTGAAGCGAGCATTATTATCGCAGTCGTCGCGCTAAACAGTCAAGGGTGCCCATCACCATCCAAGACACTTCGATGACTCGTCGCTCAGATTCTGGCTGACCAGGATTCTAGCCACCATGTGCCTTGCATTTCGGCTTTGCAATGCTTCGAACCAAGCTTGCCTGACGAACTCCTGACGACAACAGACTCCCTGGTCGTGCGGCAACGGCCCAGCCACCAAAGCCCTCAATGATCTCAATGCTTTCACAGTTGTGCTAATTCATCTTGGGTTCGGTATTTCAGTGCAGGGTAGGATGAGGACTCTGGGGCAAGCGGAACAGAGTGGCAACCGTAAACAATAGAGGGTTTAACATAACTGGCTCGAGACTTAAAGGATTTAAGGTAAAAGACAGAAAGTTGGAATATGATAATCCCAACCCTTTTCTGGTAAATTATAGGGCACCCTACCATGAAACCAAATTCCAACTTTCCGGAGTTCCCTTTAGGGTTTTAGGGTTTAGGGTTTTCGGCTCAGGGCTTAGGCCGTGTGTGCATCACACTTGGAAAATGAGTGCTACCACAAACGATCCTAAATTGCTTCCCTTCTCCTAAGGGTTCCTATAAAGGGATCTATAGGGTTTAGGGGTTTAGGCATCCAAGGACTCATATGTTAAGGCTTTTGGGCCCAAAGACCATACTATATAAGGCTTTTGTGCTATTTTGATGCCCAGGGTTCCCTAATTGTAATATGTTCATCCCTGTGTGCGTAGAAACTATCAAAGTGTCAGAGCATTCAGGGCTTGTTTCGAGCAACTTGTAACAAATGCAAATAAATGCTGAAGAGTTCTATGGCTTTGGTTTCTTTAGGTTAGTGACCTGCTGCAACCAACGTACTTGAACACAGCGAAATGTAGGAGTTATTGGTGTCTTTCTTTCGCAAACCGTAGACTGCATTGGTTGCTGGAGGCCGTAAACAAATGTAAACAAGCATCAGGTTGGGGCGTTGCAAAACAAGGTTCACGGTATTTGTTTTGTTTTGAAACCTCTCGCCCATGGTTCACCTGAACCCTCGAGCCCCTAGTGTGGGAACCTGGTAAAACGAAAACCCGGCCGGCTCTTTAGACCTATAACCCCCTCCCCATTACACAAAAAAAACACAAACAAAGTTCACACAAAGACCCCTAATTTAAGACCCTAGGTTTCATATCCAACTTCCGATTAGTCAACCTGCTTATGTGCCATGACCAACCGAGTAGCTCCAACAACCTTCGCCGCACAACACTGTGCTCCAAGTTCCTGGCTTGCCAATTAAAACTCTGGGGCTCGAAAAACTCTTGTAGCATGGATGGAAGGCTGGAAAGCTGGAAGGCTGGATGGCCGGCTGGATGGATGGGTCGATCCGGCCTGTGCTCTGAGCACACGTGGTCAAACGACACCTCAACCTGCCTCGGAACATCTTAAGTACCACACGTTGTGAAGCCCTGGGCATTCTTGCGGTTGCCAAGACTGATGGAATGGCACCATTTCTGCAACTTTCTGCATCACCCGGCACTATTTGCACCGCCTGGAAACATGAATCTGCAGGTGAAGGTCCTGAGAATAAGCCGCCGCCGCCGCTGTTCGTTTGTCGTGAACGTGCTTGGGATGAGCGTCGGGAACCTAAGGCCGGTAGAGACGATTCTGCAAATGCAAAAGGCAAGCCCTGTGCGAGGACACGAACAGCAAGGACTGCATCCAAAACTGGATCATTGAACAGATCCGGTCGACAGATGGCCGAGGTTCCGTGACACAGGCCTTAATTCGGGCTTAAGAAACGCATCTGAAAAAAGGCTACGCCCTCAACCCGATCAGCCTTACAAGTAGAGCCTGAAGCGTCAAGCCAAAGAGACAAGGTCAAGGCGAAAGGAAGCAGCAGCTCAGCACCGGGAACAATCAGAAAGGCCTTGGCATAGCAGCCGGTTCAAACAGAGTCTCGATTTTACGTTTTTCACGGATTGGCGTTGTTAACGGAACTTTGCAGAAAGATTTCACAGTTTAGGGTTTTAGACGTACGTTCAAAAGCAAAACCCCAATGTAACACCCAAATTACCCACATGATAAAACCAGGTGAACCTGAATATTGAGCACAATGTCGTTTGCGGGAAACCGCTAACAGCACCAACGCCTATGGTAACCCTGCCAAAGAACTCCTGTATCAGGGTTTATGAAGTCCTGTTGGGGTTATAAGCTCTACAGACGACGCAACGCATGTGATCAATAGTTGAAACACGGCCGGCCCAAGCACTGAAAACGGCAGCAAACGGACCAAATCCTTGGCCGTCGTTTCCAGCAGCTGGCGCTCACCTCAGCACGCCCGCATGCACAAACCCCAGGGGTCCAAAGTGCAGATTTTTGTAGAATGTAGGTGTATGCTGGGAAGTATTGGGGAAGGAAGTCCAAACACAATACTCACGACCGACACGGTTTTATTCACGAAACACATGCTAAGCAAGGATCCTTCGGTTTTGATTGGTACAGTAAGATCTGCTTGGCCATGCCCCACCATGACGTTCCAACGATTGGTACTGGTACTTCTTTGGGGTTAGTGTCGTCATGTGTCGTCCTCGCATATCAAGGTTCTTGCACATATGCGGCTTTTTGCGCCCACACGAAAGTAAGACACCCCTGCATGGACCAAGTAGACTTGATCACGCCTTGTCCAAAGCCAGGCAGCGTCGCGTAAGTTTTTGGCCGTTGGCCACTTGGTTCCGCAGCCGCCAAGCCGTACCTAGTGTCTGGTGTCCGGTTTGATTCGATGCTGTGATGTTGCGAGGTTGCAACGTGCGCAACGCAAAGTCAAGGAACCGACTCGTATGCACTGAGTTCGAGCATAAAAGTTGATAAAAGTGCATAAGACAGGGGCACAGGAACTCCCTGGGGCTCGGGCGAGAGTTGACGTACAACAGTCTGCTTCCGTGCCACAAGTGAAGAGCTTGATCCTTAGGAATGCAATCCATTGCTAGGGTGGAAACACTCGCCTAACAAGCAGCCCAGCCTGCGCAGGCATCTTGCAACAAAACAAACAACAATCATCACTCCGTTCGATTCAAGGGTCCCACAGCCATGCCCGGAGCGTCTGCAGTTGGTTCGGCTTCTTTTTCCTGCCGGGTCATGCGCAAATCGGACCATTTTGTTCTTCACATGTTACTGTTGCCCGGTCCTCTTGGCCGGCTCCGCCACGGTGCTCAATGGCCGAACGGCCTGGGGACTTTATCGATTTAGGCCTGTGTGTCTGTGTGTGTGGGTGCCTGTGTATAATTTCCAAGTTTGTCGGACCTTCCAAGGTGTGGCTAGAAAACAACCCCTAACCAAGCAAAGCACCAGCAGTGACAGCACACCACTGCGTCGCGGACCTCTTCCAAGAAATGTGGACGAACATGATGCTGTGGAGCAGAGATGGCAAGCACCTGGGACAACCGTGACATTCCATGACATTCCACCGCTGACCTTCCAAAAATAAAACGACAGTATCAACAAAGTCACAGGCACGACGGTCATCAATACAAAACACTCGCTGGTAAATGCAAGAAAAGTGCCCGGCGAGTATGATTCGCGAACCGAGCTCGCGAAACCAAGCGCCGCATGGCTGGCTGCGTTTTTGCAAAACGTTATGCTTATATCATCGAACATGTGGTTCATGAATTGTTCTGCTCGTGCAATGGAAAAGACGCATGTATCAGAACATACTGATGGGATAACGTGATGCTGGAACCAACGGCTGTGTGTTGCCGAACAATATCCTTACAAGGCTTTAATGCCGTTCGTCCAGGTTCTCAAGCTGTCGCGGAGGTTGGTCACTGCATCACAATAGTGAGTGTTTTTGCCGTCCAGGGCAAAGAAAAAAAACACTGCCCTGGCGTTTCCTGTTTTTCTTCTAATTCGAGCTGAACTTACACATGTTTACACACGAATACACATGCATCGCAACAATGCAATCTTATGGTCATGAAAATTGAAATCAAAATAAACATGTTCAGACACGATTAGACATGTCAAAAACATATCTCGAAAAGTTGCGGTGTGGTGAAGTTGATCGGTTCTATAGGACGGCTCAAGTGCACTCCAAGACAAACACATGCCAGGTCAAGGTCATTAACATAAGGTAGCCAACAACCAGCTTTTCTTCGAGGTACACAAAAACAGTACATTCAGAAAATCCCGTATGCACAATGCAACGATTGATTACTAGAGTCACACGGCTAGCAGGTCGGCGAAACTCGATGCATGCATACTACAGGACAAACAAAACAAACACGCAGCACTCGAATGTTCCAACGTGGGTCTTATTCCAAGACGCGGCTTACGATTCTAGGGCCTGTACTGCCCCGAACCATTGCTCCCGCAGCAGGACTTGAGGGTACACAAACCAGCCTTTCGAGCAGGCTTGCCGAATTTGTTTGGGCTTCACATTTTGTGGATTCGTCGCGGTACACCCAAAACAGCGGCGGAACCCCTCCGCGCTCCACGTGCTCTGGCATGTGCAGCAAGTAGTGAAACTTTGGGTAGATTGGAAACCCACAGTGTGCATAATGATACATGTGCACAGCGGCCGACAACCTCCATCGGGACGTATCCCGGGAGCTAAGCTCAGGCTGTTTCGCCAAGGTAAATTCTGCCAAAGTGGCCATTGCTTGGCGTCTGCGTTCAATTAAAGAGCCGTCCTGTGCAGAAAACTCCCTGGCCAGCCCCGCGGTGAAATCAACTAGACACCGTGCCTGGCCAGCTTTGGCTTTGACCTTTTCGGCCCGATTGGATTTCAAGCAACTTACATGGATTGCATTGCTAAAGCTGGCGGAGATTATGGGCAGTGTTTCAATTGGCGCAAAGTTGAAGCCATGCCGATTCGCTGCGACTTCAATGTGTTGAAGCCTGACGGCTATTGAATGTAAATCGTCCTTGGTTTACTTGGGTAGTCTGTTGGATATATCTGGGGACATCGGGCCAGAGCTCAATCGTCGGCTTGGTTCGGCCAGGGCCGATTTTCAAGTCAATAAAGTTTGGAAACATGCTAGCATTCCCTTGCGTCGCAAAATCACCATTTTCGATGCGTGCATTGGCTCGCAGTTGCTGTACTGCCTGCACACAACTTGGCTGAACAAAGCATTCCTTCGAAAACTTGATGGCTTCCAGGCTCGATGTCTACGCAAGATTCTTGGAATCCCGCACTCTTTTCTCAGCCGCGTGTCCAACGTGGAGGTTCTGCAACAAGCTGTGGCCAAACCATATTCCAAAATGTTGATGCACAGACAACTGCAGCTCATTGGCAAGATTGCTGCGCTTCCTTCCTCGGACGTCATGCGAACATGTGTTTTTGAGGAGGGTTCGTATCAGCTCCAAGGTCATATGAAACCGAGATGTCGAGGCCGCCCCAAACAGGTGTGGACCTCCCAGGTGTATCAGTTAGCTGTACAGGTGGCAGGAGATTTTGATGAGTTGAAGCGTTTATGGGCGTCTCCACCGAACGTGTGGCGACAACGTGTACAATCTTTTTGCTTCGGGAACTAATTGTTCCTTCCATGCCCATGTGTCACTGTACACGAGGCTTTGACTGACTGACTTGGATTTCAAAGACTTGAAAGAAAACCGCCCTAGCGGAATTCTGCTCGACACCTTCGACGTCTTGTAAAAGCTTCGGAGCCGCTCCTTCAGGGCCTGTAGCCCTTTCTGTTGCACTCTCTGGCACGACGAAGCTTGCTGAAACACCACACTCCAAGTGGACCATGGTAAAGTGCGACTGGATGCACGTGTTTCGGAAGCGATGGTATAAGTTTTGCTTTCGCTTTCGCTTTCGCCCGTCCGAGTCCGCTGGTGAAGACCACGGTCCTTTCAGGACATGGGGAAAAAAGAACACGCGCTCAAGCAGATTCGTCATTGTACAACTTGGACAAACTCGTTGACGAAATCATCTGCTTTGCGTTTCCATGCACTACTTTCGGCTACATACATCCAACATTGCGTGTCGGGAAACTCCAACTTGCAGAAACTTCGGAGCTTGTCATCCCATCGGGTCAGTGGGCGTCCTGGTCGGCGCTTGGGTGCCAAAGACAAGTTGTCATGCCGGTTCGATTCGGGATTCCACGTGACCACGCTTGTCACCCAACCATTGCTCTGCGCAACTCGGATGGCGAATGAATGTTGGCACCTGGCTAAACGTCTTGTCCATGTTTCCATGGGGTGCTGATGTAGCGCCTTGGTCACCCGGATCTTCATGCGACTCATGGTGTCGTGCCAGCTCTCGTCTTGAAGTCTGGTCCACCCAACCATAGCGCGCAACATCCGTCTTTGAATGGAGTCAAGTTTGGATAGTTGCACACCGGTCAGGGCCTATGTGTGCAAACCCTACAATATGGTATAAGTTTTCGTAAATGGTTAAAGTTTTTCCGAATACCTGTTTGAAAAAGCAATTGCAAATAGTTTTCCCAGAAGCGAAGCAGAAGAAGTACGGAGTCAGGACCTATGATATGAAAGTGAGACTAGGGGAAGCCAAACGCAGCGAGAGAATAACATACGAAAGAAGCGTAGGCCGAAGCCTAAGCGTCGAGACGACAAAGTATCCGAACCTATTGATGCTGGAGTGTTGCTGTACGAGTTTGGGGAAGTGTGGTTTTCCTTGCTTCCTCATCTGGCTGCAGAATGTTGTGCTGCAAAAGGAGATGTGCAACAAAAAGGGCTGCAGGCCCTTAATTAAGAAGCAGCTCCAAAACCTTTACAGGACTTCGAAGGTATCGAGTAGAATTCCGCTAGGGCGGTTTTCTTTCAAGTCTTTGAAATCGAAGCGGGCCAAACAGCTCAAAGCCAAAGCTGGCCAGGCACGGTCTTTAGTTGATTCAGCGCGGGGCTGGCCAGCGAATTTTCTGCACAGGACGGCTCTTTAGGTGAACGCAGATGCCAAGCAATGGCCACTTTGGCAGAATTGTTTTCCTTGGCGAAACAGCCTGAGCTTAGCTCCCGGGACATGTCCCGATGGAGGTTGTCGGCGGCTGTGCACATGTATGTATCATTATGCACACTGTGGGTTTCCAATCTACCCAAAGTTTCACTACTTTCTGCACATGCCAGAGCACGTGGAGCGCGGAGGGGTTCCGCCGCTGTTTTGGGTATACAGCAACGAATCCAAAAACCGCGAAGCCAAACAAATTTGGCAAGCCTGCTCGAACGGCTGGTCTGTATACCCCCAATCCTGCCGCGATTGCAATGGTTCGGGGCATTGCAGGCCCCAGAATCGTAAACCACGTCTTAGAAGAGGATGACCCCGGTTGGAAAACAAAAGTGTGCTGTTGCTGTGCTAGCTATGCTTTTGTCATATCCGTTGCACCTTTGCTGTGAGTATCCACTTCCCCGACGAAAAGAATCTGCCTGGTTGCTTGTTTTGTGCTACTTTGTCAGAACGTACGGCACATTCGTAACAAAGCCGGAAGGTGCCCTCCCTGTTGCGGAACCTATAATAGCTCGTAATCGTAGTTTATATTTGACGTCGAGTTCCTTTGGAAACTGGTGGAGCCATGCGTCTTTGCTTGCTTATTTGGCCCCGTGGCCGTGTGTCGACAGCTCGACTCCTCCCCAGAGTGGGGGCCCGGCGATATTGGGCAAACGACGCGGCTGCAAGCGGAGGCGCGGAGCGGAATGGCTGGCCCGTGGCGAAGCACACGTCGTGAAGAGGCAATCAAAACAGCTGCGGCAAAAGCTCCCACTCGGTCTGCATTTGTTTTCCGGCGTCGATACAACGAACCGCGGGTAATTAATGACTCCGCATGGAAGGCATCAAATTCGAACTATGACGAATTATGAGCCATGGCCAAGTCTGGATGACATTGAACAAAACTGGGAAGCAAGGCAAGTTGCGATGCTTCAGCCCTCCGCAAGCGCAAGCCAACTCCTTCCAGAGCTGGGCGTACGCAACGATGTCTCCCGCGCTGCAGACTGGAGACGGCACTACCTGAGCCTATACGGAACTCATCAGGCAACGTCACAATACGAAAACGCAGCATCACAAACTAGTTCAACACATCCTCCCATCGCCGTTGCTTTGGGTGTCGTCGTCGTCGTACTAGTAAAAGTCGTAGTGGTAGTAGTAGTGGTAGTAGTCGTCGTCGTCGTCGTCCTCGTCGTCGTCGTCGTAGTAGTAGTAGTAGTAGCGGTGGTGGTCGTAGTAGTATTACTAGTAATAGTAGTAGTAGTAGTCGTCGTCGTCGTCGTCGTCGTCGTAGTAGTAGTAGTAGTATTAGGAGGAGGAGGAGTAGTAGTAGTAGTAGTAGCAATAGTGGTAGTACTAGTAGTAGTAGTAGTAGTAATAGTTGTTGTTGTTGTTGTGGTTGTTGTTGTTCTTGTAATAGTAATAACAATAGTAAGGGTAGTAGTGGTAGTAGTAGTAGTAGTCGTAGTCGTAATAGTAATAGTAGTAGTAGCAGTAGTAGCACTAGTAGTAGTAGTAGTAGTAGTAGTAGTAGTAGTAGTAGTAATAGTGGTAGTAGTAGTTGTAGTAGTGATAGTTGTAGTGGTAGCAGTAGCAGTAGTAGTAGTAGTAGTAGTAGTGGTGGTAGTAGTGGTAGTAGTAGTAGTAGTAGCAATAGTAGTAGCGGTGGTG